CCTTCCTTCCTTCCTTCCTTCCTTCCTTCCTTCCTTCCTTCCTTCCTTCCTTCCTCTTTCTCACAGAAATTTCCTTCCTTCCTCCCTCCCTCCCTTCTTTTTCTCCATCTCCTCCGCCTCCCCTCTTCCCTTATCACTTTTTTCACTCTTTTTTATTCTCTTTTCTGCGGCAGCTCCACCCGCCGGTACCATCTTCGTCCCGCCAGGCTTCAACGTTACCCTGCCCTGCCCAGAAGGGGAGCCGGGGAGCAATCAGACTCGGCTGCGTTGGAAGTTTGAGAAGCAGCCGGTCTCTTCCGCCCCCCCTGCGGTGTGGGACACCTCAAAGGCCGGCCTTTTCCTCCCGTTCGTCCATCCCAACCAGTCGGGGTCCTACAGCTGCTCGGATGATCGCCGGCTCCTTCGCACGCACCATTTGATTGTGGAAGGTGGGTTTTTTATTCCTCCTCCGTTCTTCCTCCTCCGTCGTCTGCCCTCGAGCCATTGCACCAGGGTTCCTGAGCATATGCAGAGTGCTTCTCTCTCTCTCTCTTTTTCCAGAGCCCCCCAAACCTCCAGATTTCACCTGTTTCCGCAGGAGTTTAGTCAAGGATATTCTCTGTGAGTGGAGAACTTTTTCTCCGGTGTCGAAGCCCTCGAAAGCCACGCTGTGGATGCAAAGGTTGGTATGCGAAGGGGAGCAGCCCGTCGGTTTAAACCCTCCCCCGGTAGTCCCTGACTTACAACTGTTCACTTTAGTGTCCGTTCAAAGTTACGACAGCCCTAAAGAAAAAGGGACTTCATTTTTCACACTTACGACTGTTTGTGGCATCTCCCCAGGGGCCACCGGATCAAAAATCCACACCTTTTGTCTGCCGACTTATAGTTAGGAGGAAGGAAAGAAAAGGAAGAAAGGAAGGAAAGAAAGAATGAAGATGGGCAAGAGGAAGGGAGGAAGGGAGGGGAAAGGGAGGGAGGAAGAAGGAAGAAAGGAAGGAAAGAAAGAAGGAAGGAAAGAAGATGGGTAAGAGGAAGAAAGGAAGAAGGAAGAAAAGAAGGAAAGAAAGAAAGAAAAAGAAAAGGAAAGAAAGAGGGAAGGAAAGAAGATGGATAAGAATAAGGAAGGAAGGAAGGAAGGAAGGAAGAAGGAAAAAAGGAAGGAAAAAAGAAAGAGAGAAGGAAAGAAAGAAAGAGGGAAGAATATGGGTAAGAGGAAGGAAGAAGGAAGAAAGGAAGGAAAGAAAGAAAGAGGGAAGGAAAGAAGTTGGGTAAGAGAAATGAAGGAAGAAGGAAGAAAGGAAAGAAAGAAAAGAAAGAGGGAAGGAAAGAAAGAAGATGGTCTCACGCAATTTGCGACTGCCTGACTATGGAGAAGACAGATTCATTTAACGACCTGCGTGACTCGTTTAAGAATTGCAGGGATTCCCTGAACAAACATGGCAAGGAAAGTTGGTGAGACGGGGTGGTGGGGAGGTGGTACACTTGCTTGCTTAGCGACGGAAATGTTGGGCTCCATGGTGGTCGTAAGTCGAGGACTTCACCCTAAGGCAAAAAAAAATAACCTCTGCCAAGGTCGGGAGAGCAGGAGGCTAAAGATTCAGGACGGGATGCAACCCCTTCCTTTGATTGTGAGCCTCTGCATTGTCTGGAATTGGGGGACCCCTGGAGGTCATCCAGCCCAGCCCCAGGCCAGGTGCGGGAAACCAGCGCCGGGCTTCTTTCTCCAGATGGTTTCCCTTTGAAGGAGGTGAACCAGGGTTCCCTTGAGGTTGGCGGGACTCCAACTCCCAGCATCCCCAGCCAGACGCAGCTTCCGTGCCTTCCCGGACAGGTTTACGGGGGAAAACCACACAGAGCAACAGTGCCGTTACTACAGCCGCTCCCAGAAGTTCTTCTGCCGCGTTCAAGGGATGAACAACGAGGAAGATGGGCTGCTGCTGGTGTCTGTCTGCGTGGCCAACCTCGCAGGGACGGCGCGGAGCCAGAAATCCTTCCACACCGATGTTTTGCGTGAGTGCCCTTGTCTCCACCCAACCGATGGGCCATTCGAAGAAGACAAGATTTCCTGGGCCATCGGAGCATTGCCATCTCTGTATCTGTCATGTCTATTCCCTTCCTTCCTTCCTTCCTTCCTTCCTTCCTTCCTCCCTCCCTTCCTCCCTTCCTCCCTCCTTCCCTCTTTTCCTTCCTTCATACTTATCTTTCTATCTATCTATCCATCCATCCATCCATCATCTATCTCCCCTTCTATATTTCTATTTGTCCATCTATCTATATTACTTTCTATCTCTCTCCATCTACATTTCTATCTATCCCTATGTATTACTTTCTATCTCTCTATCTCTCTCCCTCTTTCTATCTATATTTCTATCTATCCATCTATCTATATTTCTCTCTCTCTGTCCATATTTCTATATTCCTACCTATATTTCTATCATCTATCCATCTATTTCTATCCATTTCTTTATCTTTCTACCCACTCATCTATCTTCTATCTGTATATCTATCATCTATCTCCCCTTCTGTATTTCTATCCATCTATATTTCTACTCCATCTATATTTCTATCTATCCATCTATCTATATTACTTTCTCTCTGTCTACCCATCTATCCATATTTCTATATTCCTATCTATATTTCTATCATCTATATCTATTCCTATCCATCTTCTCTTTATATCTATCATCTATCTGTGTATCTATCTCTATAATCAATCTACCTAATTTTTCTTCTAATCTGTCTATACTATTTATCTAATTATGTATCCATTCATCTTCTAATCTATTTTATCTGTCTATCATTATCTATCTATCTATCTATCTATCTATCTATCTATCTATCTATCTATCTATCTATCTATCTATCTAATCTATCATCATTATCTATCTATCTATCTATATCTATCTATCTATCTATCTATCTATCTATCTATCTATCTATCTATCATCTATCATCTATCATCTATCATCTATCATCTATCATCTATCATATCCATCCATCCATCCATCCATATCTATCTATCTATCTATCTATCTATCTATCTATCTATCTATCTATCTATCTCCCTTCCCTCATTTTCTTTTTTCCTTTTAATGGATATTCTTAGTACCTCCATCAATAAATCTTTTATTTACACCTTTCTTTCTTTCTTTCTTTCTTTCTTTCTTTCTT